CACCACGTTAGGGTCAACCTGGGACCCAAACCCAAGGTCCCCACATGTGGCTCAGTATCACACAAAGGCACCCCACTGCCACGGCCATGGCTGGCCTAAAACCTAGGCAAGCGGGCTGACCCCAAAAATGTCGCTTATAAGAACTCGCTGGCTTGAAGCCAGGCAGTGGAACAGTAAAGCACACTCTGCAAGGCAGTCCCACACAGGAAGGAGGCTCCCAGTTCGAGGCCAGAGACTCCCTGAGAACGGTGGGCACTGGCTTGCTCAGGACCCGGCCGGGGCGCCGCATCTGTTTCTCTCTCACTCGTGGAGGAAATCGCCTTGATGAAGAAAGGACATGACCTTAAAAGCTTTGCACTCCTCGCTCTCCTCAATCATTACCTGCAGGCTTCTCCTGCCATGTGGAGCCAGCCCCCTGAAATGGAATCCACAGTCGGACCTCGGCCCCTCCCCATCCTCCAGGCGGCCAGGTGCCAGCCTCCGCTGCACTGCCCTCTCACAGCCTGCGGGAAACCCACCATGACTGCACCTCGGGTCGAGCCCCGCCTCTAGGACGACCCTGGATGACCCAACTCCAGCCCACTGTTTATGCTCCCCAAACCATAACAGTATGGAAAATGGAGTCAGATGCTAAGTTGGAGCCAGCCCCTGGGACAGTAGCTGAGGCAGCCGGATCCCACACAGCTGACTATGCAGTTCAAGTCCACACCTGGGGGACTGACAAACACACCAGGCACATGTGTGCCCAGAACCCTGAAAGGAGGGAGAAGTGGGGGAGGAGGGGCTGCAGGGAGGCCCCCAGAGGGCGTGCTGCCTCACTTTCCCTGTCTCTCTCCAGCAAGCACATGCATCCTCTGGAAAAATTTAAAAACAAAAAAAAATAAAAAATGTAAAAGCTGCTAATGTTTTTATACATTCTACAGCAACAGCACAAAATCTTCTGCCTTCCCCACTTTTCCCTCGAGGTCCTGCACCGGTCTCTCAGCCTCCTCAGAGCCCAGGTTCAGGGATGTACTCTCCTGCTGTCAGACCCTCCCTCCCAGCCCCACCCCATCAGGCCTCCTTCCCACCCCTTTCCCCACCCAGCTGCTAAATGCAGCCTCTGAGAGCAGCTCTTGTCCTCCTTAGTCTATCAGCAGGACTGGATGCCAAGGGTTACGCCCTCCGCTTTGAACTATTCCATAAACTTGGCTCCGGGTCCTCCAAATAACTGATCAATGTTTTCCTAATTTCAGCTATTGACTCCTGCATCCACAGAGGTCCTGATTCAGCAGTCAGCCATGCCAAGTAGCCATGACGACGTCGGCCGCTGCTCATGAAATGCCACTGCAGGTCCATGTGCGCAAAGGAAGCCTTGTACTTATCACTTGTGTGTGTGTGTGTGGGGGGGGGGGATCACCCCCTGGGGGATGGCCACTCTGCAATCTCTTCTCCAGTCTCCTGGGGTTCTGGGCATGCACATACATGCCCACAGAGTGTTTTTTAATGCTGCCAGGCCTGGGACTCAAACCACAGAGTTGGCAATATGGGCTGCAGTGCCTTAACCATGACACCACCTGCTAGTGGGAAAAATCTTTTTTTTTTTTTTTAAGATAGCCTTTTTGTTATTGGGCACATGTGCCTGCCAGGGAAACAGAGAGAGAAGCAAGAAATAACCCCCAGGGGAGATGGCCACGCCACAACCCCGTGTCCTCTCAGGATAGGGGCACACATGCACATGTGTCGGGCATGAATTTCAAACTTGCGGGTCCAGGAATCAACCAGGTTAGGCCATGTGGGAGTCCAGTGCCTTGACCACTACACCACCAGCTGGCCCCCAGAAAGAGTACAAGGATCCCCAAAAGAAAGAAAAACGCTGGGTGTGCATGCCCGAACTCCCGAGAAAAGGATGGAA